GAATCCCAAGCCTGAGGGAGATTCTCCCAGACTCCCTGGGACCAGAACCCAGGCCCTTCGGGGCAGAACGCAGGTACCCAAGAGAGGGCCAATGAGATGACAGTGAAGTCTGCACATGCACACACGGGCTGGAGACACCAAGATCCAGAGGTCCACGGAAACAGCCACCATGCCTCAGCCCCACGGCAGCCGGGAAACCTAGTGGACAGAGCTTACTCAGTGTGGCAGGCCCCCAAGGAGGTCCATGTCCTAATTCCCGGAACCTGTGAATATGTTCCCTTACGTGATAGAGACTTTGCTGGTGGGATTAAGTTAAGGATCTTGAGATGAGCAGAGTATTCCGGATTATCTGAATACAATCACAATGTCCTTATAAGACAGACGCAGAGGGTATTTGACTACTGATGGCCATATGATCACGGAAGCAGAGGGGAGCAGAATCAGAGAGAAGATGCTATGCCCATGGCTTTGAAGATGGAGGGGCCGCAAGCCAAGGAATGCAACCGGCCTCTAGAAGGTGGAAAAGGTGAGGAAATGGATTCCCCCGAGGCCCCCAGAAGGAAACAGCCCCGCTAAAACTGTGACGTTAACCCTGTAAGACTCATTTCAGACTTAAGAACCATGAGAGAATAAATGTGTAGTTTGTTTTTTGTTTTTTGTTTTTTCTGAGGTACGCGGCCTCTCACTGTTGTGGCCTCTCCCGCCGCGGAGCACAGGCTCCGGACGCGCAGGCCCAGCGGCCATGGCTCACGGGCCCAGCCGCTCCGCGGCATGTGGGATCTTCCCAGACCGGGGCACGAACCCGTGTCCCCTGCCTCAGCAGGCAGACTCTCAACCACTGCGCCACCAGGGAAGACCTAAATGTGTAGTTTTAAGCCACTAAGTTTGTGGTACTTTGTTACAGCAGCCACAGAAAACGAATCCACCCAGATCCCCTATATCACTGCAGAGGTGTGCCTGCCTCTTGGATGGAGCTCCCATCGACAAGCCGGCCTCTCCACACTGTGCCCTCGTATACAGGAACACAGGTTCTCCCACACATCTGCAGCCGGGAGGGCTGGGGCTCCACCTAGCAGGCCAACAGGCCCCTTCTGCATTGGGAGGAGACAGTTCTATGCTCAGGGCTTCCCCATTCCCGGTGCCAGAGATGGTCCCTCAGGGCCAGACTCAGCTGTTGATTTAAAAATATTTTATTCTTTAAAAAATACAGCATTCAACCACCTCGTCCAGCAATGACCCCCTGCCCCAGCCTCGAATGACCGCACCCCTTGTGGCCAAAGCCTTCTGGGCCATGCTGGGACCGTAGTCTCAGTTCCCCTGGGGGCCAGGTTCATGCCAGGCCCCCCCACCCAGCCCCTTGAAGCAGCTAGGCGGGGTCCCCAGATGCCCTGGGCACATGGAAGAGAGGCAGGAACAGCAGAGGGGGAGGGTCGCAAAATGCCAGCCCAGTGGTCCTCGGAAGCTGCAAGAATGTTCACTCACCAGCCCTCCTGCCCACAGGAGGTCACCCCAGAGCCCAGGCTGGGAAGGAGGGAGGTGGCCGCGGGGATGGGGTCGGGGTGGGGTAGGGGCAGCCCCACAGTTCCACATGCCAGCAGGGCTCGGGTCCCGCCACCTAGCTGTCGTCCCCATTCTCGCCGGGGCCACGGATGAGGCGCTTGTGGCCCCGCTTGCCCCCGGGGCCCTTGGGCTTGGCGAAGGCCTGCTTGAAGGCGTGCTGCTTGGGGTGCACCTCGTCATAGAGGAAACTGGCCGTCAGCTCCGCCCCGTCGCCAATCTCAATCTGTGCAGGGCAAGGCAGTGGTCAGTCACTCCAAGGGTGGAGGGCCCTAACACACACCACCCTCGGTCACCCCCACTCCTGGGGCACCCCCCTGATCTCTCTCACTCTAGCCCTGGGGTGTCCTCTCAGATCCCCACCTGAAATGCACCTCCAGGAGCACAGAGCCTAGGGCCTGCTGCCCTGCAGGCCTTGTCACCCCCTACCTGCCTTCCAGACCCAGGAAAAGGAGAGACATGGGTGTCACAGTTGGGGCTTGTCCAAGACATCAGTTACCTGGGTGGCCTGGGCTATGCACACTACCCCCTGGGCCTCAGTCTCCCCATCCAACCAACAGGGCAACAATGCCCCTGCTCTGCCATTCTCACGGGACCCTGATGCCCCACGTGGAGGGTGGGGTGACAGGGCCCCGGGAGGCGAGGCCCTAGGGAATGGGCGCCCACCTTCTTGGCGATCTCCAGCTGGAAGTCCTGCTCCACGGAATCGAGGAGGCGGCTCTTGCAGCTGGAGTACAGCATGCGCTCCTTGATGCTGCACTTGTAGCCGGGCATCGAGTAGATGAACACTGCGGAGAACAGGGAGGTGAGCGGCGGTGGGCCTGGGACTCCTGCCGCCCCATGGCCCCTGCAGGCGGCCCACCCAGCTGTGGGCCAGCACGGGAGCCCTGCTGTGGCCACTCACCCACAGACTCCAGGGGGTCACCCTCATGGGTGTGCTTGTAGAGAAAGAAGTGGTAGCGGGCGGCATCTCGGGGCACCCGTGATGGCAGCTGGGCCACGTCCGTTGGATCTGTGTGCACTAGTTCGATGGTCTCCCGCTCCAGGTCCAGCTTCTGCCGAGGGGCAGGGGGAGACGTGAGGGCACCGCGCGGGGGAGGGCCCAGGGCCACCCTCGCCAACAAGAGTTCCCTGAGGTGGGAACCTGCTGTCATCTCCCTCTCCCGGGGCTCCCCTCCCCCATCCTGCCATGCAGGTCCCTCTGAAGAGGCCACTCCTGGGCGCTGTCCCAACACTGCCCCTTTGAACACTCTGCTAGAGGAGCAAGTCCCAGCAAGGACAATGGACAGGACAGTGGGGAGGGCCTTCACCTCAAGGAGGCATCACCCTCGGGCCAGCCTATCCTCAGAGCTGAGGACCCATTCTGCTTGAAAGGGGGCAGGCTGGACCACTGGGGCAGAGGGACCCTGGCTGGGGAAAGGGGGTGGTCAGGGGGCTGCAGAGGGAATCTGGGACAGGAAGGGGCTCAGGGCTGAGGGGTGAACCCAGGGGTGATGTGTGTATGCAGCGTGGAGGGCGGATTGAGAGACAGTATCTCACAGGAGTCCCTGTGGGTGAGCCAGGCAGGGCAGGGCAGGGGAACAGAGTGCAGCCCCCACACGTGGTGACTGTAGGGAACAGGTAGGGATGGAGGACAGCGTGTTCCCACCAGTACGTGGGTGAGCTGAAGTGAGCTCATGCGTGTGCGCAGGAGCAGGGTGGAGGTGCAGCACACCCTGAGTGTGTGCGTGGGACAGGGGACGGGCACCCACCAGCTGGATGTAGTTGACTGTCTTCTGTCTGAGCTGCTGAAGTGCCCGCTGGGCCTGAGGCTGCAGAGGGAAGGCCAGGCCCTGCAGGGTCTGGTGTTTGCTCTCCACACTGATCTCTGTCTTCACCTGGGGACAGATGAACATTAAGCGAAGCCCTCACCTGCCCAAACCAGGGTGTAGCCCACCTGGGGAGCACAGGCTTGGCCAGCAGGGCCTGACGTGACCTCGAAGGCCTCGGGCCAGGACTGCTGCCCACACTGTCCAGCGCACCCACCTCGTTAATACGGATCTGCTGAAGTTCTCTCTCGGCTGAGGTCAGCGGGGCGGGTGCCGCACAGGATGACAGGTGCTTCTGGTACCCAGCAAAGGAGAGGTCATCCTGGCCGGTGGATGTAGAGGCATAAATGAGCACCTTGGGGTGGGCTGGCAGAAGCCCACTAAGCACCCCAGCTTGCAGACCTTTGACCCTTGCGGCCTTCCCTACTCATCCCCAAGCCTGGCACCCACTTACTCTGTGCCCCTGTATAACACCTCACCCTCTGTGGGTTCATGACCGCAACCTAGTGATCCTGGCCTTGAAGGGGGCGAGGGGCGCCCAGGGGAGGGGGCCTCTACCTTCACAGTCCCGAAGAGCTCATCCTTGATGTGGCCGCCCCCGAACTCCTTCTTCACTGTGGCCCGTGTGGCTGCATACAGCATCTTCAGCCGCACCTGAAGGGTGGGGGCCAAGCCCTGAGACCCCTCCAGGCAGGGCTGCCCATCCAGGAGCAGGCAGGAGCCTCTGGGTGGGGACCTGGTCACCTCATTGTGCCCACACACCCAGCAGAGGGCGCAGCAGAGCACCCAGCAGAGGGGGCGAGGCTGCGGTAGGGCGGCTCAGACAGCAGGGGGAGCCGCTGTCCAGCCCAACCTCTGCCTCCCAGAGCCAGGCTGATCTGGCCAGGAGGCTCTCAGAGACCTCATCCCTTGCTCTCGTACCCTCTAGAGCAGGATCTGATGTCTCCCCCGTTCAGACTCCCTGGGCCAGGGCCGTGTTATCTCAGTCAGACCCAGCTTCCCCCTTCCTCCAATCCGGGGGCTGGGCAGGGGTCCCTAGGACTCACAGGGGAATTATCAGGTGACCAGGCGAGGAAGAGCCACTCGAAGCCCTGGGCGTTTTGCGTGTCCAAGCGGTAGAGCAGGTAGCAAGGCTGCTGGGCATCCAGCAGCGGCAGCACGGCCCCATCATAGTCCTGGTCCCAGCAGCCCACCAGCTCCCTCGAGGCACCCAGCACGAGCTGCTCTGGGGGCAGAGGCCAGGTGAGCCAAGGAGTAGCCATGTCCCACACCCACCTGTGACTGTGGGCCTCAGCCTCTGGCGGTGACTCAGACCCACTGACCACCCACCCCACCTTCCCCTGGAGCCACCACGTCCCTGAAGGCTGTCTGTGTGACTCAGTCATGAGTGAGTGAGGACACACAGCCGCCAGCCCGAGGTCTCGCCTTCTACACACACACACGCACACACACACAGAGAAATGGTCTCGAGAACATGCCCACAGCTGACCCAGCACAGGCAACCGCACCAAGACACACAGCCACATGCCCACAGCCATCGACAACGCGACCCCTCACAGACACCCACACACTCAGACCCACTGCACAGCTCCTCAGCACACAGCCCCACTAGGCTACCTACTGCCCCCTCCTCCCTCAGCCTGGGGCTCCAGCAGGGCCCCCAGCACACCCTTCTCAGAACGAATGTGCTATGGGAAGTGGGATCACAGCCTCAGGCCACAGGGATCTGCAGGCACAAAGGCACATGGGCAAGAGGGAGACAGGGGCTCTTACCAGACACTGTATAAACAGCTACCCTGCTGCCCCCCACCAGCTGCAGCTTCCCCAAAAGTAACAAATCAAAAGCAGCCAACTGCCTGGGGCCGAGTGGCTGAATGGGGTATCGAGGCTGGACATACATTTGACCTATCAGCCCACAAGGCCTCAGTGTGGCACCGAACACCAGCCCAGATGTGCACAGGCCCAGGCTAGAGGAAGAACTGGGGCAAGGGGACAATCACCGCCTGGCCAAGGGGTACCGGCACCTGACTACTAGGCCCTCCTGATGGGGGCACGGGGCCTGGCTGTCCAGGAGTCCCAACAAGCCAGGCCGCCTCCCTCTGGCCTTGGCCTCCTCACCTATCCTCCCAGAGCTCAGATGGGATCAAGGCTGAAAACCAGCAGTCACAGGCCGACTGGACCCCAACAGCACTGCCCAAGTTGTTTAATGTGTTGCCAACATTTTTCAAACTGGGAAGTTTCACATAAAAAGTGGAATTCATGGCTTCTCTAGAAAAATCAGGAAATCAAGCCACACTCAGTGGGAGCTGGGCGATGGCTGCCTGTCAGGAGGCCTGGACCCTCCTGGGTGCTCCCAGGTACCCCAACAGCTGTAATGCTGAATGCAGGTAAGGGCTCACCTAGAGACTCCTCCTGGTAAACGTCTACAGGGACGACCTGTCTGGGAGGCGACAGGGAAGGCTGAGGACTGGGGTCCATGAGTCTACTTCTTTGGAGGGGTCCAGGGAGCTGACCTACCCCAATGACCCCAACCCAGCCTCTGAGGGCATCTGAATCTGGGGACCCTGGACAAAGCCCAGCACAACTCTGGCCCCAAAGCCTGGGGTGAATTCTGGGTCTGGGAAGACCCTGCTTTGACCCAATTCAATGTGTGAAAAGTCAGCTGGGCACCAAGCCCATTCGGGGAGCCCCCAGCAGGGTCCACTACTGCATGGCTACCAAGAAGGGCTGGAAGGATTCGTGGTGGCCCGGCTCACCCCCAGTCCTGAAGTCTGTACCCTTTACTTCCAGGGCCAGCCCCTCAGCTGTCCTCTACTCCAGGACTCCTCTACCCCAAGTCCCTCCAAGCCTCAGTCTAATCCTACCTCCTCAAAGCCCCTCCCCACTTCAGGCCTCAGCTCAAGCTCACCTGCCCCCCCCCCAACCCCTATATCCCCAGCACCTCCCTTTGTGGAAGCCCCAGGTATCCCGGGTCCAGGTCAAGGCCTAGCCAAGCCCGGAATCCCCTAGTCCTGCTCTCAAAGAGGCTGACACGAGTCCCTTCTCCCCATTGTGAGGGCACTTCCCAAGGGCAGGGCCCTGGCTTCTCCTTAGGAATCTCCCCGAGCCAGTAGCCAAGCGAGGCCAGGCTTGCCGACCACACAGGGAGGTGAGTGGCACTAGCCACACGGGGCAGTGCCTGGCCTTACTCATCCCCCGCCACCCTACCTAACCCAGCCCAGCCCCCTGACTAGGCCAATGGCCAACTACAGAGCCTCTGGGGAGGCTGGGCGGGACCCCCCGGGGAGGGCTCTCCTTGCTATCCCCCCAGCTTCAGCCTCCTGCTCAGTGTAACAGGCAGAATGACCATGCCCACCTCCAGCCCTCTCCTACAAGACACCTCCCATTTCCAGATGGGAAACTGAGGTCCTGAGGGGGCTGGAGGCCAATGTCCCCCACCTCCCAGAGAAGCAGCGGGGTCCAGCCACCAGCCTGTACCCTCGCCTGTAGGAAGCACTCACCGTCCTCAATGACGACTTTGATGAGCCGCACAGAACCAGCCCGCGCCTTGGCAAAGAACTCCTTCAGCTCCTCGGTAGCTACCAGAACAAGAAACATGGTGGAGGATGAGCAGACAGAGGGAGCACGGTGGGCAGGAACACACTCAGGGACCGCTCTGTCCTGGGGGTCTGGTGGCGGAGCTGGGAGCCGGGTTAAATACGGCCCCCCATGTGACTGGGAACCTGAGACAGCCGCTGAACACAAGCTCCCAAATTTAGCCAGCAGAGGTGGCAGGCGGGAGGCCTGCTGGCTGGGATGGCTCTGTTGACAGGGCACACGGGGATGAGACAGCCCACCCGAGAATGGGGCGGGCTCTGGGACAGGCCAAACCAGCCAGAGTGAACGGCCCCCTCCTGTCCCCTGCCCCCCAAGAAGGCCCAGCACAGAGCTGGCCTGGGACACTCCCAGCACCGTCATGTCCACAGACAGAAATACAAGAACAACTGCTCCCAATGTGCACTGCCCACTATGTCTACTCACACATGTACATGCATACACACATGCATGCACTGCATGTTGCACGTGCCAATGGGTACATACTCAGTCAGGAATGTGTGAACGAAACACATAAACACTATGTGACAGAGAGAGGAACAGAAATACAAACGCCCTCATACATGAACACACCATTCAGCTGGTCAAACATAAATGGACACACACATTTAAACGTGCAAACACACAGACACACACACACACACAGATTCAGTCCCCAGGGTGCTAATAAATTCACACACAGGCAAATGCAGAGCATGGCTAACATGTTTGTACAGGCAAGTGGCTGTACAAAGTGTACACAGAAATACAGAGGTACACACTGACACACATGCATGCACACCCAGCCCCAGCCCACCAGCCACGCTGCCTAACCCTGAGAGGCCCTGGGGAGCCAGGCCAGCTCTGGCACAGCCCTGCCAGGAGGCGATAAGCCTCCAGCCCCAGGCAGCTGGAAAGAGGAGTGACTCTCAGGGTCTCCCCAAAACAGACCCTGTCTTGGTCCCTGAGCCACAGACCTGAAAGGTGACAGCCAGTGACCAAGGACCCAAGTGCAGAAGTGAGGATCATGGTCAGAGCTAGGGAAGATCTAGCTCTGGAAGTCACAGATATACTGGTGGTTCAGAGAGGGAAGCCAAGGTCCAAGTTGGGAAGGACCTACTTGGGTCTCTGGGTGCACAGGGCCAGGCCAGCATGACCTTGGGGCTGCCCAGGGGTCAGGAGAATTCTGCAGGAACACAGCTGGACGGCTGAGGTCAGAGAATATTTATAGGGCCCAGACCCGGCAGCTCGAGGGCGGGGTGGGGGGGGGCCTTTAGGAAAACAAACTCTGGTCATGTCCTCAGGTGCCCATCATGCAGGGTGACCCTGAGCCTGAGACCTCACGCTGTGTACCACCCTCCAAGGCCACTGGGTGAGCAGGG